CTAAAATTTAAATTAAAACAATAATACAATGCTCTCATTATAAATCACATTTTAAGATATTAGCTAACACATAACCTCCCCTGATCTCTGTTGTATCTGATCCTGCAGCTTTCTGTCAGACTTCCAGCCTCCGTCATTTGCAGCCTCTCTTTGCCAAAGGCAGCAACACTTCTCACTACCATGCCCTTCTATGGCAAACACAAGACAGAGGCTGGAAGGACCTGCTCCTCTGACATCATTGAAATGACGCCTACTGGCTGTACTGGAATGCTTGTTCTGCCCCCTTGTGACTAAAAACTGCAAATGAAGCACTTTGTAGTAGCCAGCCAAAATAAGACTGTTTTGATTTTAGTTAATCATAGTTAATCTTTGGTCGATCTGTTCTGCTGCACTTTCGTAAAAAGGAAAAGTTAAACGCCAACAAAGTCACTTTACTCTTTAAGTTAATTTTAAGTTAATCTAGAAGATTTGGACTTGGTTTATGATGCAGAAGTACAGAAAGAACACCAAACTGCCACAGATACCACCCAACCTATCAATGCACTGTTTTCCCCACTCCCATCAGGAAAATAGCACAGAAATAAATCAAAAACAAGTGCCTCAGGAATCGTGTTTTTCCAAAAGTTGTGAAGGGAATCATCTCCCTACAGTAAATATCCCTGCAGTAAATCAAAGAAAGGTCCTCCACTGTTCTGTCTCCATTTCTCTTCATCCTCTACACCTACAACACAGACAGCTGCCATCTCCAGATGTTCTCCTATGACTCAGCCATTGTGGGCAGTGTTTCTGAGGGGAACGAGCTGGAGTACCAATCAGTCATCATGGACTTGGTGGACTGGTGTTAGAGCAACTACCTGTGTTTAAAGACAATTAAGACCAGGGGGATGATAATTGACTTCAGGAGAAGACCCACACGTCATTCTCCCATGAACCTCCAGGGGCAGGACATAGAAACTGTGGAGTTTCAAATACCTGGGTGTTCACATCAATGATAAACTGGACCGGACTCATAACACTGGCACCCTGTACAAGAAGGGCCAGAGCCGCCTCCACCTCCTGAGGAGGCTGAGGTCCTTTGGAGTGAGTAGACCCCTGCTTAAAACCTTTTATGACTCTGTGGCGGCATCAGTCCTCCTCTACACTGTTGTCTGCTGGGCCCCTGGCAGAGCAGAGCAGTACAGAAAGAGACTGAACAAGCTGGTGAGGAGGGCCACTTTTATTCTGGGCTGCGCCCTGGACTCAGTGGAGGAAATGGCAGAGGCGGTGCTGTCAAGCTTACATCCATCATGGACAACACCTTTAACCCCCTGCGCCAGACTGTAGAGGAGCTGAGCAGCTCCTTTAGTAACAGACATATAGACTCCTGCATGTCATTCATGCCTGCTGCCATCAGACTTTACAATGCCACTGCACCATAACCTGGTGTAATAACACTGCAATAACATATACTATTTATCTATTCAGCAAACCAGGAACCACACTTTACCTGCCACCACTTTACTGTACTTAAGATACTGTATATATAAGTCACCTTAAATCTCTCCTTTATTTTTACCATCCACTGTGTATACTTCATGCACCTTCTCCTCCTTTGTGTACCTTTCTCCATTCTGAGATCAATTAAGTTCTATTCTATTCCCTGCCTCTCCCTCTCTCTCTCTCTCTCTCTCTCTCTCTCTCTCTCTCTCTCTATGTATATAAATATATATATATATATATATATTAACCTGTTGTGAAATAAAATAAATATTGTTTTTATGTCAGCTTCTTGACTCTTCTGTCTGGGTATTTTATGTGGATTTTGACTTGGCATAACAGCAAAATTTCATTATGACATTAAAGCCTCTTATTTCTTCTTGCTTCTATAGGAAAGCTTTATAACACCTTGAGGATTACAAACATTTCACTTGTTTTTTTTTAATTAATTTTAGAAATATGTTATGCTTTAGAGAAATGTGTCATTCTTATTGTCTTTTTATGTAATAGTCATACTATTTGTAATCGCTCTACAGTGCCTTAACTACCATTTTAGAAAACATTTTTTCAGATCGTTTGAATACTTTCATGTTTTCCCTGAACATATATGTGTCATTGCATTAGGACCATGTAAAGCTAGATGGGTGATTGTAACATGTATTAAAATTTTATTTTTTATTATTTGTTTGGCATTCATTTCATTCAATACCTGTTGATTTTCAATCAAATTTTTGCATCAAACTATAAAACATTCATTTCTCTGTAATGTCCTGACCGGATTGGAATTCAAAGTTTCACTACTGTGTTTAAACAGGGGACTAAGTTTAACTCAGATAAACTCACTCACCTCTTTCTATAGCTGTGTTTTGTATTATGCTGACGTTTTATGAACAGATTCTGAAAATGCTTTTCTATTTAGCTGTTTGATTCTGTGTTTGCAGCAGTTCTGAACACAGTAGAGAGGTAACGATGCCATTAAATAACCTACTGCAGCCACAAGGCGGCAGTACATCTTTGCTGTTGATAGATAATAGCTGTAAGGATGAATAGTTCTGCTTTGAACATATTTGAAGTTTGAATTCAATGATCATCTTTACAAACTTATGCAGACATGAATAAGTCATTGCACATTTTTTGTGATTTACAATGTCTCATGTCATTGTCTCTAAAATTATTACAGTGCTCAGGGTAACAAAAATCCTTGATATGATAAAGGTTTACTCTGTATTTATTTATTAGTTGTACCTTATTAAACATATTCATAACTCACTCCATAATAGTTGATGCTCTAGTTTAATACTGATGTTGGAACTTTGCTTCCCATATTATCTACGGTTTGTTTGTAAAGTAAAGAGTTCTGAATCATTACTTATGATAAATTTCTCTCCACTGAGGGTAGAGTTTGGTAGAGTACCCAAACATTTTACTTTAAAAATAAAGTAAAATGAGGACTAGTTCTACATATTTTTATATAAAAGTTAAAAAGTAGCCATCCAATACTTAGGAGTGAAAAAACATTTGCCAAAAATGCTATTTCACTGCTCTACCCTGATTACATGACTAGTTCTGGTAAATTTATTTACATTTTTTGTGAACTGCTTAGGATTAGATGCAGTCTCACAGCACTGTTGCCTGGTTACAAGCAGGTTCTGGGTTTGAAACCCTGAACTTTCTTCCAGGAGTGTGCGTTTTGTTCACTCCAAATTAGAACATGTGTGGAAATGTTTTGTGTCTTTGTTGCCATGTGATGGATAGACAACCTGTCCACATTCGCTCAACGGGCGCTGAATTTGTATTAACGATGGATACCTTTATCAGCTGTCAAAATATTGACACTATGGTACAGCCCACTATTTTTGAGCTTGAAGTGTTTTATTTATGTCTTTCGGCTTCTGTATTTTAAATCACGGTTTATAAGGATTAATTTCATAATATTGAATATTATCTCCAAGAGTTTCATGTGTGTTTGTGAAATTTTGTTTACTGCAGTAAAGGAAGCGATGATACAGTCTTTGTTTACAATGCTTGGTTCCATTTAAGTGAACAAGGAGCTATAATACCGGGAAAGGAACAAAGGAAGTACCCTTTGATTGCTCTCTAAAAATAACTCTTTGGAATCAAACTAGGCCCATCCTGGGGCTCCAACCACTCTGTTTTTTGCTGTTACCTGGTTCTTGGCTAAATTAAAGCTACTGCTTTGTACTTTGCTGTCTCAAGAGTGTTTTGTACAAAGTCTTTGGTTGTTTCCTGTTGACATTGTGCCATACTTTGGTGTGTTGATTCCAAATATTGAGATCATGACTCCACTTGGGCTCCTTCATCAACCGGTACGGGTCTTACGATTTCACTACACCACATATGACAAGTTACATTTTTCTTGAAATAAGTACATTTTTCGATGTTTCTAGCAGTTAAGACAATTTACAAATTGAATGAGGTTTTTAACATTTTAAAAAAGAACAACTTTATCAAATTTTATGAGCAACAATAATCATTCTATTTGTAGATTTCTTTCTATTTACCTGCTCAAATTAAGGGAAAATACATCAATTTTAAGAAATTTATACTTTTTAGATCATCTTATGCACTAAAAAAATGGAGAGACTCTGCTTTAGAATACATTTTTGAGATAAATATAAAATTTGTATGTCAAACATTTCAGGAATTCCACAAGATTAGTTAAAAAATAAAAATTTTCTTACATTAATTTGCCATTCTGTGCTGAACAAACAACTCAGCTGCACACTAGACTCTTTATTGTCACAATGAAAATAGAACATTTCCATTAAGAATTACGGTGAATAAAGGCTCTACATTTACAATATTTTTCAAATCCATCTTATATACATTGAATTTTTTTTTATTATTATTATTTTTAACAGAAGATTACAACTATTATTCAAAGGTTCAACAGAGAAAAATATCACTTTGTTAAAACCAAACCCTCAACACATTAAAGCACCAATTACTCAAAGGCTTAAAATTAAAAGTTGGCTCAAAAAACATGGAAAATAAATCCTAAAGCTGCCAATAAGTGAACAAAGTGCCCAAAATAATTAACCACAGTGACTTGCATGTTTTAACTTTTTGATGTTATCAATGTTTAACTCCTTTTCTGAATCAAATGTGAATTAGCTAAAGAGACAGAACATATGCGTTCTTTTGGTCTGTGCGTCACATCTCTCTGTATAAAGTCAACTTAAGGCTGAAGTTAAGCTAAATTAAAAGATGAACAGACTTTGAAAAGCTGCAAATCACTGAAGACACAAATGTAAAATAAATGAACATTTACAGCACAGTTATTACATTTAATTAACATAACTGTGTTCCATTTTCTCATTTGTCTTGAACATCATGTTTCGGCTTTTTCAGACTGCTAAATATAGTTGATCAGAGAATATCTTTTATGTGTCACCAACTTTACATACACAGGAATATCAGATTTTAACCCTATAATACTCAAGGAAATATACACAACATATTAAATGTTTTTTTTTCCATGAGAAGTCTGCACTTTTGGCATTTTTTTTTCTGCACCACAAAGGAACATACACTGAATCAACTATACAATGAGATATTTTTAAATAGAATAGAACCTTTAACCTTTACTGTCATTACATTGTCACAAGTACATAGCAACGAAATTCACCCTCTGCATTTAACCCCTCCCCTTGGAGAGCAGTGGGCTGCCATTGTGCGGTGCCCGAGGAGCAGTCTTTTCCAGGGTAGGAACACTGTGGTAAATGGCATTGACATGCGTCACAAGACACTGGTACACACTGTAATAAAAGCTGGTTGTCATGTGTGTGGGATGGTATTTGCTTCATGCTTCCTGTACTGAGGCATGTACAGTGAGCTACAAGCTTGCAGTAGCTTACTGGGATCCATAACTTCCTCCTGGTTGAGCTGATGATGCAACTCCACATGTGCAGTTTTCAGGAGCACGCTTTTTGGATTCTCTTCCTCACTTTCCTCATCCTCCAGTGGATGTCTAATTTCTAGATAGTTTAAAGGCTTGTCTTGCCTCATATCTAGTTCATTTTCTTTCTCTGATGTTTCAGAAAGCTTTCTGAAAGAGTTGTAAGAGCCAGAGTGTCTTTGATCATCCGATTCTGTACCACGACAGCTGTCCAATTCCCACAGTCCACTGGTGACTGATTCAGAGGTATCAGAGTTGTTTGCTGAGAAGTTTCCTTCATCGCTAGAGCTGCTCCGACTTCCATCATTGATGTGGAGATGAGGAGGCAGGTGTTCCTCCTTTGCATCGGTGAGCAGGACCTTTGAGTATGTCACTGAAGACCGAGCAGAGCCGTTAGTGGACCCTGAACCCCGTTCTTCCAAGGCACTGCCTGGCTGTAGTTTATAACTAGTAATATTAAAATTTGTTACAGATTTAGGAACACTGGCTTTATCAAAGACTAGGTCACACTCCAGCAGCTGCTCTTTTCTTGGATTCAAGTATTGCAGAACGGTGTTAGTCGAAGGAATAAAAGAGTCAGGAGACATTGAGGTCTGGACCAAGGCTTCTGCCAGAGCTTTGTTCCCGACAATAACTTTAGAGAACTTCTCAGTCGGTAGAGGCAAGGCTTGTAGACCTTCTGAAGATCGAAACGTGTACTCAAAGTTTTCCATCTAGATAAAACAACAAATGTATTTCAATAAGAGCAAGATAGGGTGTTTGACAATTCTCTCATTTGAGATGTAAACAGTGTTAAAACAACTCAGGTAAAGCCTAGGGAGATACTGATAGGCTCTCCTGGTTAGAATCTATGCCATTTAGCTGTGACAGATGGTAGCTGAGGAAGTTTGATCAGAAAGGGGCTTCTGTGAAATTCAAGCAAGTATAAAGAAAGCTTATTCTGTTGACTTACATTTTTATATATTACTTAACATCTACAATCAAACAAGTAAATATCTGTCACTTTGTTTTATTCTTCCTGATCTCCTTGAGGCTTTGTGGAATCCAACTAAAAAGTCACAGGAAATCTAATTTATAGAGCAGTTCTTTTACCGTTTTAGGGTCTAGTCCTTTAGCCCATGAGCAATTGTTCGGGTTTGGAACATCCTTCCATATGATTTTTTTCATCCTGCCAGAAAAAATGAAAATACTTATGTTGGATTTTGCATGAAATGACTTCCATATTCCATTCTCCTGTCTGATTCCTCCACCTCTGATCAGGAAGCATCAAATGTTATGACATCCCTTAAAATGTCAGGGACCTAAATTAGACCACACAGCAGGGATTAACTTCATTTGTCATTTCTTACAGCAGTCTGACTAAATGAGAGGATTCGTTTTATATTGATCTGCAATCAGACATTCAGGTCAGAACATAAAAGTTCATTTATCAAGATTGATAAGAGGAAAATAATGCTCTTACTGGTTTTGGGAGAGAACCAGGATCAGAAATACAGCAATGCTAATAATCAAGATGAATATTAGCATGATGTAGGTTGGAGATGTTCTTGTATTTACTGTAATAAAGTGAAAATTCACATCAGATATTTAGTAATACACTCTAATTTCAGGCAGTTACTGTTGCAAAACCAGAAATGGAAACAGAACATACGTAATGTGGAAATGCGTTCTCCTTCTCCATCAGCAAAGACTGGATATAAGTGAAAGTCGTACTCCTCCGAACTAAAAAAAACTCCTTTAAAGCAAACATTGAAATAGACAAGTTAGTGGAGAAAAAACCTGGTAAATATCGAAAATTATCACCAGTTTCAGTGGATGGTTTACCTCGTAAATGGACAGGGGGGTTGGTGTAGGGCAGCCTGGCCCATGTTTGTTTGCTCAGACCGAAGTCTTTAGAGTCCTGCTCCTTTTTTGGGAACCACTGAACCACCAGGAAGAGGGGAACAGGTCTAATGTGCAAGAGACTCCAGGACAGAGACACACAGGTGCTGTTTATAAGCGAAACATGGATTGAATGGATACAGCGACCTGAAGAAAAGAGAATAAACGATGCCGTCAGATAGTACAGGTGGACTGATTTTTGATGCACATTAAACAAAGTAGGAGGAACTGGATGATTTATTAATTCATGACTAATATTGATTGACATGAGTTATTTCTGACCTTTTAGAGTTATTCTAATAACAATGTTTACTGCAGATTGTCATTCAAAGTCAGAACTCACAAATGCACTTATCTTTAAGTATGTTGCTTAAAACAATGAAAGGACATTTTACTCTGCTATATATATATATATATATATATATATATATATATATATATATATATATATATATATATATATATATATATCACATTTTGTTGTATTTAATCATAATCAGTTGCAGCTATATAGCAAAGCATCCAGGCTGTCATAAAGTGAGGTTTGCTAATGATCGCTTCACCAAGGAGATTAGTGCAAACAAAACAACCTCTGCACCAAGATGAAGGACACAAGAAGTCAGTGAACACCGCTAAATACCAAAGGAACCTGCTGTAGGACTTGGCAGGTTGAGGTAAGCGTGATGTGAAGTAAACGTTTCATCTGGGCAATAACACCTCAGGCTTGGTCAGAAAGGTTGATTCAAGATATATGTCCTGAGGGCCTTCCGCAGGAGTGTTGCATGATGGGTCATGGACCCCTGCAGTCCTGCGTTATAATAGTATACTATACAGGGTTGTAAATGCTTCACAGAGAACTCTGGGCGACTACTGGACATAAGTCCAAGGACAGACAAAGCCAAAATGGACCTTCAGCTTTAAGAAAGGTTCCAAACACCCACCAGACAGAATGATTTGCTCAGAAAAGAGGCTGCAGAGCAACTAGTGTGGAAAAACCAGGGTGAAGAACAGCTACTTCCAAACGGCTAAGACACTATAGAGCTCCTTATTGCGCAGCAGAGTGTTGGCCTGGTGGATAGAGCAGGTGAATTTCTCTATTGTTAGATCAATAAAGTTCAATTTTCATTATTATTATTATTAAAGGTATAGAGGAGGATTTTCTCAATTTTTTGCAAAGAGCCACCCTCTCCACTTTAAAATAAAAATGCACATGCACAACCCTGTACCCGCTCTCGAGAAAAAGTATTTCAAATCAAAGAAGGGCCCGCCACTAAAAGTTTGGGAACCACCAGCTTAGACTTATGTCAAACTAAATGTCATTGAGATCCGCCTGTATCTATATATACTAGACCAGGGGTCGGCAACCCGCGGCTCCAGAGCCGCATGCGGCTCTTTAGCGTTCCCCTTGCGGCTCCCTGGAGCTTTTTCAAAAATTTCTGAAAATCGAGTTTGTTTTTTTTTCTTTTGTTTTAATATGGTGTGCAGGAGGTCAAACAAGAAATAATTATGTTTTCCAATGCTGGAAACATTTGTATAATAAATAAATGTAAACAATAATTTGCTTCATAGCCATAGAGATCAGTGGTCATAACTTGCAACCAGCGCTGTGCAGTGCCAGGCTGCTGGAGTGTCTCGGACCATGGATCCCAAAGGGGAAAAAAGGAAGATAGCTGATGAGAAAAGAGGATTCAAAGGATGGGCCGAATCATTTTCTTTCATTAACAATGCGGAACGATTGCCTGCATTTTTGCTTGGTAATGAGAGGTTGGCAAAAAAATAAACATTTGGAAAGACATTTCCAGGGAAGGCAAGCTAAATATGCAGCCAACAACCAAGCTGGGAGGGAGAGAAAAATGGTGATTGCAGAACTTCTGGATAAATTAGAGGAGAGCAAATGTAGATTTAAGAAGTGGATTACATCTCCAAACTCCACTACTGCTGCTAGTTTGGTTGCAAGCATGGAAAACCATCCAAAGGTCAAGCAGGTAGAGCTCTGATGCAGCGATGGGAACTTTATTCCATTTTTTCCCCAAATCCTAAAAATATAAATCACACCAAGGAACGCAGGGATGGGGGATTTCAGAGTAAG